AAACATTAGCAGAAATGGATCGAAATGTAAAAAAGCGACTTGATCGAAGCCCGCGTCGCAGTGGCCGAAAAATGGATCGTAAGCTAAAAATATCGCAATATTCCATTCGGCAAACATTGAAAAATGAGCTTGGCCATTGAAATTCCAAAAAGTGCAAGAACTTACACCGCAACTGAAATAAAATAGACTCAAAAGAACTGAAGAGTTGCTTCGCTTGGCTGAAAGTGGTGAACTGCCGAATTTGGTTTTCTCCCATGAGAAAACATTCGTTGCCCAGCAGTTCGTAAACAAAAAAAAATGATCGTTTTTAGTTGCCAAAGAGGTCAGCTGAAAATGTGCACCTTCGCTTGGCCACCAGAACTCAAGCGCCGGCCATGGTGATGGTGTGCGCCGCCATAACAGCAGATGATCGCTCTCCGCTCGTATTAATCGTCCGTGGCATCAGAATAAATGCCGAATATATTATCGCGAAAATATTCTGGAGGGTCTATTAAAGCCTTGGGCACGCAAACATTTTGGCCGCAGACCTTGGACATTCCAACAGGACTCAGCACCATTGCACTCAGCACGCGCACCCAAGAATGGTTACAAACTGAGGTTCCTCGCTTCATTTTCGGCGCACAATGGTCACCAGTATCTCCGGATACCACTCCGTTGGACTATTGTGTCTGGAGTATTTTTGGAAAGCAAGGTTGGCACTAAAAAATACCGAAGTGTCGATCACCTCAAGCAAGTGCTTCGTCGAGAATGGGCCAAAATACCGCAGAGCAATATTCGGGCAACGTGTGACGGTTTCATTGGCCCTTTGAAGGCCATAATTCGTGCCAATGGAGACCAAATCGAACAAATTTAAACTTATTCTACAATTTAATGCTATTTCCGACATTTTTGCTTTCATTCAATAAAATTAAAAATATTAAAAATTATGGCGTTTGACTTTGTTGCAGTTTTTTTTATCTCACCCTATATATTTGAAGAAAAACATCACCAAGGATGTAATTTTTTCCTATGGAAAAAATCCCTCATCCAGGATGTGATTTTATGGAAAACCCCTACTAGCCTCATCCATCCAGGATGAGATTTTTTCCTATGAAAAAAGCCTCATCCATCAAGCCCTCATCTAGGATGAGTGATTTTTTCCTGTGGAAAAGGCTTCAAATGGATAAAACCTCACATCGAAGATGTAAATTAGAATAGAATCCAACCTCCCTCTTCGATTGTCAATTCAACTCTGGGTCCTGCTCGGAGGATCAATGTTGTTAATAACGAGAATAGAGTCCAATCTCCCTCTTCGATCGACAACTCTATTATCAATTCGGTAATAGATTCAATTATGATTTTATTTCAAAATATGTTCCTTAGGTACTACTAAAACTAATGTAACTTAACCTAATGGCAGCCACACGATTCTAATATTGAATGGAGAACATTGCAGGGCTGCTTGATATTTCCTTCAAGTGATCTTGGGCATCTACTGAGCGCATCGATATCTGTGCGTGTGGGTCATAACTTTTATTGTCTGTAACATTATCGTATGCATCAGCGCACAAGATCACCGAATTATTCACTGTGGTGTTTTATGGCGGCTAGGAAATATGTAATTTTAGATTATTTATTGTTTATTGATAGATTTTCCCAGCGCCTCAACCGCACTCAAAAGTTTGTACAAAGTATTTTGTACAAGGATGTGTTTTTTTCGTATGGAAAAGCCTCTCGTCCAGAGTGATTTTTCCTGGATTAAAAATTATTCTTGAATGAGTTATTAATTCAAATGGCCACTGTAGCATTTATATATTTCCTTTTTTTCTGATCTTTCAAATAAAAATCATTTACCATTTCTCTTCCTCCACATGTTGATTGTCGTTAAGGACATGATTGCCATTTTCATCGTGATGATCATGTTTTATGACATTTTTTAACTGGCCCATATACGGTTGCAACTGTCCAGCTATGGCACCCACACCGCTTGTGTCAGTCATCGTTACATGTCTATAAATCACCGAAGAAGCAGCAGCAGTGTCATTTGTTTCCGTTGCTTGTTTTTGTGCCTGGCATGGATGATGCCATTGCCGGGCAACGCATGCATCATCGCCCACAACTACAGATAGTCGAGGTAGTGTTTCTGGACAATTGGTCAGATGTCCATTTGTGTCTGTGGCGGTGTGATGATTGCCGCTGTCACATAAAATATCTTCCAGCTGTTGCATCGGACTGGTTTTGCAGTGTTGTAGGCGGTTTGTCCTTCGTTCGAATCACAGGTGGGTAATTTAAATTAATGGCAGTTTGAATTTCCGTTTCCGTGCTATTCTTATTTTTTATACACGATTTGGCCTCTGTTGGAGGGGAGCATCTGGCCATGAGTCGTTTGGCGACTCTTTTTGGATGGAATTGTTTAATTTTGCGCTTGTTTTGATAATGGGAGATGGACTTGCAAATTGAGCCAGGTTTTTCTAAAACAGAGATAATAAGATATTGTATTTAGTTAAAAAAGAAAATATTTTGTGGGGAATAATATCGCAATTGGAATTACAGGGTGAGATACAAAAAAACTTCAACAAAGTCGAACGTCATAATTATACCCTACAACACTATGTGTTGGGGGTATTATAAGTTTGATTGGGCCAAAAATATTTTTCTTTTGTGTTGAAAAAAATCAAAGATTTTCATTAAACCGTGAATATTTTAAATCCCGGCGAAATCACAAAGCCACCACAAGGTTACTTCTGACGTCTACAATGATGTTATTATCCAACAAATCGGATATATAGCAAAATATGTGCCATATATGTCTATCAAAGGAGATATGCTTGAAAGATCTCTTATATGTCGAGAACGGCTGATCTGATTTCAACAGTTCTCATTAATTCAGAATGGCCTCTTGGCAGGAAAGAAAAAACGTCTAAAAAAATCGCATAAAAATATCTCTCTAAAGATGAAAATATTGATTTTGTAAAATTTTCTCATATTTTTTAAATTTTGTCATATTTTTGGCATATTTTCATTTTGAATTAAACATTTGATAATATTTCTACAGCTAACAAAACTAAGTAGTTAGGATATTAGGATATCATATACAGATCGCATTTATGGCCCGATCCTTACGTAATTTTGCATGGGGATAAGATGAGGGTCAGAATAGAAGCCTACTCTTTTTGGAGATGATTGCCATATATTTAGGGGTTGAAATGGACCAAAAAACTGCAAAATTGTCGGCAGGTCGTAATTATCGCCCGATCCTCACGCACATTTGAATGGGGGCTACCGCACATTGCAAAAGCCAAGCAGTTTCGGATGGCCATCCAAAAATATTCAATGTGTGAAATAGTTTGCCAACTTTTGTAGACAAAATACGAAAATGTCCATTCCAGTGACTTTTTGGAGAATTCACAAATACAGGAAAGACGCACTTCTGACTATTTCGTTAACGCTGATTTCGTTGAAGAATATAGTCAAAAACCAATAATAAATGTTAATCTTTTGCCACTTCTGAGAGATTGTAGGTCTTTGGGAAATATTGGTTCCAGATCTAGGAAGACCATTTACGTGCAAGATCTACCAATAAATTGGAAATGAGCAAATTAATTAAAGTTGCTATTATTCGAAAATTAGAGAACGAAACCTGATGGTTTTTTTTTATTATTTGTCACAATATCTTGTGGAATTCTTTCGAGTATCTCGCCTATATAAACTGTATCGTTTATTATAGTGTTGTAGGGTATTCAACGGTCGGCCCCGCTCGACTGTAGCCTTTGCTTACTTGTTTTTACATATTTTTTTAAATTTTATTGAATGAAAGTAAAAATATCGGAAAAAGCATCAAATTTTAGTTTAGATTTGTTCGAATTGGTCACCTTTGGCACGAATTATGGCCTTCAAACGGCCAATGAAACCGTCACACGCTGCCCGAATGTTGATCTGCGGTATATATGAGGTGATCGACACTTTGGTATTTTTTAGTGCCAACCTTGCTTTCCAAAATACTCCAGACACAATAGTCTAACGGATTGGTATCCGGAGGTTTTGGTGGCCATGGTGCGCTGGAAAGGAAGCGAGGAACCTTATTTTATAACCATTCTTGGGTGGCGCGTGCTGAATCCTGTTAGAATGTCCAAGGTCTGCGGCCAAAAAGTTTACGTGCCCAAGGCTTCAATACACCCTCTAGAATATTTTCGCGATAATATTCGGCATTTATTCTGATGCCACGGTCGATTAATACGAGCGGAGAGCGAACATCGGCTGTTATAGCTTCCCACACCACCACCATGGACGGCGCTTGAGTTCTGATCGTCAACCGAAGGTGCACATTTTCAGCAGACCTCTTTGGCAAGTAAACACGATCAGTTTGTTTGTTTACAAACTGCTGGACAACGAATGTTTTCTCATCTCACCACTTTCGGCCAAGCAAAGCAACCCTTTAGCTTTTTTGAGTCTATTTTATTTCTGTTGCGGTGTAAGTTCTTACACTTTTTGGAATTTCTATGGCTTTACCTTGAGCGAAGCGGGTGTCGATCAAGTCGCTTCTTTACTTTTCGAACCATTTCTGCTGATGTTTCCGTTTTCTTCCGTCCTCTTCCTTGACGTAGGGTTACGCTACCAGTATCACGATAATGAGCGATGGTACAAGGCACCAAAGATTTTTTCACACTTAAATGCTGGAGTGCTATAACGATAGCCACTTGTGGGTTTCCAGCCAAGGAAAATTCTCACCAAAATGCTTTTGTACGCTTATAAACAATGGCTGTCACTGAAATAAATTTAACAGTTGCCGTACGAGTGACTTAAAATGACAGCAGTCTGAAGTTGGTGGCAGTTTTTTCATTTTACCCTATATATAAACAATTTATTTATGAATAAAAATTTATTAATGACAATTTGAATGATTATGATATAAATTGGAATTAAAATTACAAATTCCGTGTAAACATACGTTTGTGAACAAACAAACAGAAAAGAACCGGTATTTCACAGATAGATGTCACTACTGTAGTTCACAATGTTGCCACATGTCTTGTCAAAATATTGTTTGTTGTCATTTTATTGTTATTGTTTTTCTTTTAATGGAAAGCAGCCTTTTTTCATTTTATATTTAATTTACAATCCCTTTCGTCGTTAAAATGCTGCGTTTTCTAAAGCCCGTACTGAAACAACAGTTTCTGGTCATCATTTTGGGCATTGCCGCCGGAATATACTATCCACAAATCAAAGAACATTTCTTGGGTAAAAGTGTCGACGTGAGCTTTGAAAGTGCAAAGCAACAACAGCAGCAGCAACAGGAAAAACTGTTTACTAAAGAGGAGTTGGCACAATTCAATGGAGAAAATGACAAGCCTCTATATTTGGCCTTATTGGGACGAGTTTACAACGTAACACGAGGTGCCAAACATTATGGATCCGGATGTGAATATCATTTCTTTGTGGGACGCGATGCTTCTGTTTCATTTATAACCGGAGAATTTGATGACTATGTTGAGGGTGAAGCTGATGACGTACTCTCACTGAAACCGGCCGATCTACTCGGCCTACACAATTGGCAGAATTTCTATGAAAAAGACTACGAATTTAAGGGCAAACTCATTGGCAGGTTTTACGATGAACAGGGTCAACTTACCACATATCATCACAAATATCTTGCCCTGCTCGAACAGGCCAAAGATGAAAAGGCCACAAATCAAAAATTACGTGAAAAATATCCAGATTGTAATATAGAATGGTCGGCCGATAAAGGGAGCCATGTGTGGTGTACGAAGAGTAGTGGTGGCAAGAACCGCAATTGGGTCGGCTATCCGCGTAAACTATTTGAAATTGGCAATTCCAATTTCCGATGTGCCTGTCTAAGAAAGGAAGATTTAGACACGACTGAGGTCATGATAGCTCAATACGACAATTGTGAGCCTTTATCACACGAGTGCTATTACCAGGTAGATTAATGATAGGTACAATATTCTAGAATCTTGCCTCAGCCGAACTTAGTTTGTATAGGTACTTAATTAGCAAGTATTTTTACATGTAAGCATTTAAAGTAGAGTGTATGTAGTTAAAATATTGTTACGAGGAAATTATCAGTATGAAAGATGTTATTACTAGTTATTGGAACGAAGCTCAATTTATCTTTTATACAAATACATGGAACTAGCACAGTGATAACGTTGAGTACAATAATATGTTCTGTTTAAATGAAAATCTGCAACAGCAAACAATTGGAATTGTAGTGTCTTTACATGTTATGTAGTTTTAAAAATATTAGAAACATTTTGCATATTGTAGCAAAAGAAATATTCGTTACAAATATTATGATAATTATTACAAGTTAAATTGTATTGGGATAAGGTTTAAAATTTGACGCTTTTTCTAAATAAAATCTGTAAATAATTATTTTTTATACAATGTGTAATATTTCTTAATATATAGCAGGGATGTAGCATTGTTTTTATTCCCATTAATTAACCATAAAATATGATTTCGTTCGGACTAAAATGCTTACATCAGAGTCAGTTTAACAAATTCTCTCATTCCATATCGAAAATATTTTTATCGCAATGCATTTGAAAAGCTTCGTTTTATTAAAAACAAGTAAAAACGCTGTAAGTTCGGCCGGGCCGATCTTTGAATACCACCTTTGAAATCCACCGATTTGAACTAATTTGGCAATTTTCACAAAAATAAAATCCGTTAAAATTGTAAAAATACCGAATGTCGCCGTAATATTAGGGTCTATACGACGACGTGGACCTGCATAGGCAACAATTGTTATAACCATTAGATTATTCAAATGCGAAACTTGAAAAAACTCGGTGAATAATATAGCTAAAATCATCAAAATACCTAATATATGATGGTACCATTATATTGGGGCTATACGAAAACGTGGACCAGCTCAGACAATTTTCTGTCATAGGCGGTAGTATCCATTACGAACTTCAAATGCCAAATTTACAACAATTCCGGTGAATAATGTTGCTAAAATCACCAAAATACCGAATATCGGGAGGTGCCGTTGTATGGGGGCTATACGAAGACGTGGACCTGCACAGACAATTTTCTGTCATAGGCTGTAGTGTCTATTACGAACTTCAAATGCCAAATTTGAAGCAATTCCGGTGAATAATGTCGCTAAAATCATCAAAATACCGAATATCGGATGGTACCGTTATATGGGGGATACAACAAAACGTTGACCTACTTGACCTATTTTCAATACCAAAAGTCCTGCAGACTAATACACATTTAAGTAATATTTTATCAACCTACTTCATATCGTTTGGAAGCTAGAGTGATTACCACAGACGGATAGACGGACGGACATCGCTAAATCGACATGGAATTTTATGCTGATCAAGAATATATATACTTTGTGAGGTCTAAAATGTATATTTCGAGGTGTTACAAACGGAATGAGAAACTAAGTATACCCTCCATACTATGGTGGAGGGTAAAAAAACGCTAGAAACGACTGGAATGTTAAAGTTGATGACCAGTTCTTTCTATTAAAATGTCTATTTCGACCGGATTTTTATATCCTACAACACTATGTGTTGGGGGTATTATAAGTTTGATTGGGCCAAAAATTATGTAACACCACGAAATATTGGTTTCCCACATAGGAAAGTATATATGGATCTTCCTAGCTCGCCGAGCTGAGTCGATCTAGATATGTATGTCCGTCCGTCGGTCTGTCCGTCTGTCCATGTTAATTTGTAATCACTCTACAGGTCGCAATTATGGTCCGATCTTCACGAAATTTAGAATGGAGGTGGGGCTTGGACCAGAATAGAACCCTATTGCTTTTGGAGAGGATCGCCAAATGTTTAGGGGTTGAAATGGACCAAATACTGAAAAAATGTCGGATTTTGCAGTAGCTATAGAGGTCGCAATTATAGACCAATCGATGCGAAATTTCGCATATAGATAGAGTTTAGGGCGGGGAAGAAGCCTACTAATTTGGGTGGTCATCGGATAATATTTAGCGGATAAAATACACAATATCTTTTGTATTGAAAAAAATCAAAGATTTTCATTAAACCGTGAATATTTTAAATCCCGGCGAAATCACAAAGCCACCACAAGGTTACTTCTGACGTCTACAATGATGTTATTATCCAACAAATCGGATATATAGCAAAATATGTGCCATATATATGTCTATCAAAGGAGATATGCTTGAAAGATCTCTTATATGTCGAGAACGGCTGATCTGATTTCAACAGTTCTCATTAATTCAGAATGGCCTCTTGGCAGGAAAGAAAAAACGTCTAAAAAAATCGCATAAAAATATCTCTCTAAAGATGAAAATATTGATTTTGTAAAATTTTCTCATATTTTTTAAATTTTGTCATATTTTTGGCATATTTTCATTTTGAATTAAACATTTGATAATATTTCTACAGCTAACAAAACTAAGTAGTTAGGATATTAGGATATCATATACAGATCGCATTTATGGCCCGATCCTTACGTAATTTTGCATGGGGATAAGATGAGGGTCAGAATAGAAGCCTACTCTTTTTGGAGATGATTGCCATATATTTAGGGGTTGAAATGGACCAAAAAACTGCAAAATTGTCGGCAGGTCGTAATTATCGCCCGATCCTCACGCACATTTGAATGGGGGCTACCGCACATTGCAAAAGCCAAGCAGTTTCGGATGGCCATCCAAAAATATTCAATGTGTGAAATAGTTTGCCAACTTTTGTAGACAAAATACGAAAATGTCCATTCCAGTGACTTTTTGGAGAATTCACAAATACAGGAAAGACGCACTTCTGACTATTTCGTTAACGCTGATTTCGTTGAAGAATATAGTCAAAAACCAATAATAAATGTTAATCTTTTGCCACTTCTGAGAGATTGTAGGTCTTTGGGAAATATTGGTTCCAGATCTAGGAAGACCATTTACGTGCAAGATCTACCAATAAATTGGAAATGAGCAAATTAATTAAAGTTGCTATTATTCGAAAATTAGAGAACGAAACCTGATGGTTTTTTTTTATTATTTGTCACAATATCTTGTGGAATTCTTTCGAGTATCTCGCCTATATAAACTGTATCGTTTATTATAGTGTTGTAGGGTATTCAACGGTCGGCCCCGCTCGACTGTAGCCTTTGCTTACTTGTTTTTTTTTTTTTTTTTTTTTTTTTTGATTGAAGTTAGAGAATTTTACCCCAGTATATTGTGAATACTATTCTAGGTCAACATGACCATGGTGCAAAACGTACAAAAACGTGATATGCAAATATTTTATTTTATTTATTTTTTTTTATTTTTATTTATTTATTCAAGATTTCGTAACACAGAAGCCTTTTTAGGCCAAAAATAGCATTACAATGTAATATTACCAAATAGAAAAAATCTTAATTATACAAATACAAATATTTATTTTATCACACATTACTATAAAATACTTTATCTTACTCTATCTTTTTTGTTTAAATTAGAGTTTAAATTTAAATTAAATTAAATTTATAAAGAATGGAAACGCCAAATTAATCTATTAATTTTAAACAAAGAGAGCAGACATTTCAGATTTCGATATTCTCATTCAGAAAAATTAGCATGCTATGGTGTTGGAATCAAACCTATTCCCGTTTGCAACATCTCTTGATCTCTGATGGAAAACGTTTTGCATATGTCCCCGTTTACACATAGCCCCTATAATCTGACTACAGTTATATATTTTCTTTAGTCAAATTTTGAATCGGAATTTTGCATCATTCGAAAATGAATACGAATGAAAAGCATCCATTCCTTGTGCATTTCATTTAGGACCTGTTTCTGTATGACCCTATGAAATTGAATAAAAACAAGCCAAATAGAATCAGTCGGTTTTGCCGACAAATGTATGAACCCAGCCTTGACTTATGATTATTCAAACTGTTGACTCTTTATGGGGCAAGTTTCGAAACAACGAATATTGAGCAATTCGAATCTGATATAAATATTACAACGTGACAGTCTTGGACAGATATAGCGGACCAAAGTATTCCGTTTTTATACTTCATCTAATACAGCTAAAAATATTGGTATGTTCAAAATTTGAAGAAAATAGAACATTTACAGGGTGAGATAAAAAAACTGCAACAAAGTCAAACGCCATAATTTTTATATTGTTTTTAAATTCTATTGAATGAAAGCAAAAAATATCGGAAATAGCATCAAATTTTAGAATAAGTTTAGATTTGTTCGAGTTAGTCGCCTTTGGCACGAATTATGTCCTTCAAACAGCCAATAAACCATCACACGCTGCCAGAATGTTGTTCTGCGGTATTTTGGCCCATTCCCAGCGACAATAATTTTGTTGGTTTACAAACTGCTGGACAACGAATGTTTTCTCATCGGAGAAAACCGAATTCGGCAGTTTACCACTTTCGGTCAAACGAAGCAACTCTTTAGCTCTTTTGAGTCTATTTTCTTTCTGTTGCGGTGTAAGTTCTTGCACTTTTTGGAATTTCAATGGCTTTACACCGAGCGCATTTTTCAATGTTTGCCGAATGGAATATTGCGATATGTTCTGCTCACGAAACCCGATGCGGAATTTCAATGGCTTTACTCTAAGCTCATTTTTCAATATTTGCCGTAATTCGCCATAGACAAAAGAAAATATAGACAACGAAAAGTTAGTTTGGTCTTTTTTTCCAGGTTGCTCTCATCATGTTTTGCATAGTCAACATGCTCATTTACGCGTTCAAGCCACTCGACTTCGAAAACACATTTTAACGCTTTTCAAGAATTTCACTGGAATATTCCCATATTTTTCGATGTCATCACGTACTTTTCACTTGTCTTTTATTATGGAACAATTTTCAACTGACAAATATCCTACAGTTTTTGTTATTTTTAACGTTTTAGAATTGAGTGACTTCAATATTGCCACTCAAACCCCTGAAACGATATAGACGACATCTGCTGCTTCGATTTTTTTCGAAGATAAACGGTGAGAGCATTTCGTTGTCTATATTTTCTTTTGTCTATGAATTCGCTGGAATATTGCGAATTACGTCGGGGGTTTCTATCAAGTCGCTACTTTACTTTTTGAACCACTTCTGCTGATGTTGCTGTTTTCTTCCGTCCACTTCCTTGACGTTGGGCTACGCTATCAGTATCACGGTAACGAGCGATGGTACGAGACACAAAAGATTTATTCAAATTTAAATGTTGGAGTGTTTTAACGATAGCTACTTGTGATTTTCCAGCCAAATATAGAGAAATCTCACTATCAGGCTTGAATTCCATCATGAATTACTTTGTTTCTGGAAAATTCTCACCAAAATGTTTCGCCGCATGGCCGAAAGTAGTGAACTGCCGAATTTGGTTTCCTCCGATGAGAAAACACTCGTTGTCCAGCAGTTTGTAAACAAACAAAATGATCGTGTTTACTTGCCAAAGAGATCAGCTGAAAATGTGCCCCTTCGGTTGGCCACTAGAACTCAAGCGCCGGCCATGGTGATGGTGTGGGCCGCCATAACAGCCGATGGTCGCTCTCCGCTCGTATTAATCGACCGTGGCATCAGAATAAATGCCGAATATTATCGCGAAAATATTCTGGAGGCTGTATTAAAGCCTTTGGCACGCAAACCTTTTGGACGCAGACTGTACAAAATACTTTGTACATACTTTTGAGTGCGATTGAGGCGCTGGGAAAATGTAGCAATAAAGAATAAATGTTCTAAAATTAAATATTTCCCAGCCGCCATAAAACATCACATGTGAAGAATTCGGTGATCTTGTGCGCTGACGAATACAATAATGTGTCAGATAATAAAGGTTATGACCCACACGCACAGATATCGATGCGCTCAGTAGATGCACAAGACCACTAGAATGAAATGACAAGCAGCCCTGCAATGTTCTCCATTCAATATTAGAATAGATAAGAACAAATGTGTGGCTGCGACTAGGTTAAGTTAGATTAGTTTCAGTAGTACGTAAGGAACAAATATTTTAAATAAAAACAGAATTGAAACTACAGCCAAACCTTTCGGTTGGTTTTCCTTTCTCACTCACAGACCTTGGACAATCCAACAGGACTCAGCACGCGCCATCCAATAATGTTTACAAAATGAGGTTCCTTGCTTCATTTCCAGCGCACAATGGCCGCCAAAATCTCCGGATACCAATCCGTTGGACTATTGTGTCTGGAGTATTTTGGAAAGCAAGGTTGGTACTAAAAAATACCAAAGTGTCGATCACTTTAAACAAGCGCTTCGCCGGGAATGGGCCAAAATACCGCAGAGCAACATTCGGGCAGCGTGTGACGGTTTGGCTGTTTGAAGGCCATTATTCGTGCCAAAGGTGACCAATTCGAACAAATCTAAACTTGTTCAAAAATTTTTTCATTCAATAAAATTAAAAAAAAAATGTAAAAGTTTGGCGTTTGACTTTGTTGCAGTTTTTTTATCTCACCCTGTATTCGAGCAGACCCTTAATATTTCATTTGTTTGTTTAAAGGTTTTCTTTGTTTAAATTCGTTTACGGACTATGCATGCTATTAACATTTATGGTGCACAACTAAAAACAAAAATGGATGTTACTCTTTTCCATAATAATTTCTAGGTTTCTGGAATAGCTATTTCTCAACTGCATATTCCACTCACATACACAATAATTAATTTTATTACTTTTTTTATTATTTATTATTACTTAAATTTATATACATGACTTTTTTTGTTTTAAATTTTACGAGAATGATTTGTTGTTATTTTGTTTTGTTTGTTTCTTTCTTAATTATATAATAACTACTTAATATTTAGAATTTAATCTCCCTGAAATAATTAATGGAAAATAATACAGATATTTTTGTTTGTTTTGTAATTATTAATTTATATATGTTTGTGTATATATAGGTTCATAATCATTTTTTGTTGTTGTTGTTGTTTATATAAGAGATAAGTTACAATTACATAATTATTATTTATATATCTTTTAGCTGATCGTTACGGAATTACGACGTTAACAATACTTTTACACAAAACTATTAGATCCATGCCATGTCATCCATACATGCATGTATGTATGTGTGTCACATTAAAATTTGGTAAATTAATTATTTCGAGAGTTTGTGGAGATTTCTATTCTACATACAAAAAAACAAACAAAAATTATTTATAGATAGTTTAAATATTTAAATATGTATATATGTAATCAATCAATCGATTACCGACATCGGAGAGATATTGGCTGCCTGGCTAGCTGGCTCCGTATCGGTCTTTTGGTTAATCATGTTACATGCATGTGTGCTTGCCAATACTCTACTGCCTTATGCGTGTTTTTGAGAATAAATATTTAACTTTTATATGGAGTGCGTGTTTTGTATTTTTCTTGTGATTTGTTGTACACTTTTGTCATTGTTTGTTTTATTTTCGGTTTCTATTTATTTATACACGATTATCAATGGGTCCATCCTCATAGCCATCGATGACCACGACCTTCAATTTTTTATTCTCCCCAATCATTGTTGGTATGTGTATGCTCGTCCGCCGCCTGGACATTGTCTTTGGGATCACAATCATCGATGAATTCGACATGTGTAAAGGGGAAGTGACCTTTTTTGCCTTTTAACTCTCCCTCCCACTGGCCGTTGATGTTAGTCTTTGTGACCTTTATTATATCGCCCACTTCCAGCTTGAGAGCGGTCTTGTCATATGCATTTGGCACCCGGGCCTGTTTTACTCGAGCGTATGCTGGTAACTTGCGATTCAAGTCCGACTTTTTTAGCGTATTACTCAATTGATGGCACGCTGGCGGCGATGGGACTGGTTCACCACCCGATGCTACCCGCTGCTGTCTCATTATGTTATTAGCACTGGCACCACAATTTCCCGACGATGGCCTCTCCATTACATGATGATCCTCGTTACTATCATCGTACTTTTGTACATAGGGCACCGGAATTTGTCCAATTTGACCTAGAGCATTCTTGGCCGTCCACCATTGATCCTCATCCTTTCTTACGATGGTCAATATTTCACCACGCCTAAACGGCAAATCATCCTGATCACTGCCATCGAAATCAAATTTCCCTATTACGCGTTCCATTTTCTTAGCGGCTGGCCTCCGCAACGGAGTGGTATCCAAATAGTGCAATGTGTAGAACGTTAGGAGATCGGGCAAACTATCGAATGATTGATCGCCTATACGATAGAGGGTCATGTCATGGTTGTGTATCTTATTTATAATGTAGTTGCTAACTTTGGTGTCTTCCCGTACGCACAGGACGTAGTCCCCAGTTATGGTTTTGCTATCACGCACCAAAAACACACCTCGCTCCCGTTCGTTCATCAGTATTTCGGTGGCGTCCTGACGTGACATTGGCCCAAAATACCAGCTGTTTTCGTCATTGACATCAAAGGTCTCCATTTTTGGAAGGTGGTTACGTTTTACTTTTGTTTTGTTGATATGGGTGTTGTTCTCAAGCTTCACAATACTTTCATAAACCACTGCAAATATTTGGAAATTTTTATATTTTATATCAGTGTCTGGAGGTAATTATCAAAGACTCACCCTAATTTCAATTGCTGAGTGTATTTTCCTGCTTCCATTGATTTCCCCCTTCACGGCGGTGATGATTTTCACAGCAACATTAGTGCATCATTTATTCCAACTTCTCGATGTTGTAATTGATATTTTTCAATGCAAAGGACGATAAGTTTTTCACTTTTAGTTTACCTTGGAAATTGGGAATTCAGAAACAATTTTCAATTTTCATTCATATGTTTAGATTTTTGTTCGTATGTGTGTGTAAACTTAACTGATGGCTTCATCTCTGTTCAACACCTATATCTGTCTTTGTCCTAACCGTGACCTCTTTGTTTTTCTCTCTACATTCGTAGTTCCATCTCTTTTAAACTTGTTTAATTTGTAATTTTCTCTGTTTTAACCATCGTCTCTTTGTTTTTGTCGTTCCATTCGTAATTCCATCTTTTCATCTCTTTCCAACACTCATTTCTTCTTTATTCCTTTTATGTACCATCGTCTCTTCATATCACTGTGGTGGTGTTTTAGTTGCCTGTCCAGCACTTTAATTGAATGCTGTAATTTTTCAACACTGAAAAATTTCAGATAATATTTTGAATTTTTTTGCGAAATTGGTTATCATTGTTCCCAATATACCAAAAATAAATACACTTACTTACGATAAACAAACAAATCTCAGATATGTCGTCATTGACATTCGTTTTTAATGAAAATTTTTACCAAAAAAATTTCGTTTTTCATAAATGGCAATGTGAGGCAGAGAAGGAAATATTTCCCACCAAATCCTTATGGTAAGAATAAGTGTCACATCACAATATTATCATCAACACAAGATCTGTTATAAAGATTGTAGAGATCGGACAATTCCTTCTGGTACCTCCACCACAAAGGGTCAAAATTTTAAATAACCAAAACGATTATAAAATACGAAATAAGCATCAGATTCTCTTTATATTTCACACATACAAACATTTTTGCTAACACAATGTCTGTTGTGAAGCTGGGATATATCGGTCCTCCCCCACAAAGGCTCAAAATTTTGAATATCAATGGCGCTCATAAAATGCAAAATCAACATCCGATTCCATTCCAGTCTTGGTACATCTCAATATTTCCATCAACACAAGATCCTCTATCAAGATGGTAGAGATCGGACCATATCTGTTGCTACCTGCCCCATACAGGGTTCAAAATTTTTAAAAACAAAACGCTCAAAAAATTGCGAAATAAGAATCCAGCTCTCTTCAAATGTCACACACACAAACATTTTTGCTAACACAAGATCTGTTGTGAACCTCTTCTGGTATCTCACCCACAAAGGGTCACAGTTTTGAATACTTTTATCTGTCATACATTGCGAAACAACTCTTGCGATTCTTTACAACTTGCTATATTTAAATACGTGTCTCTCAACTAGAAACCTAAGATGAATATGGAATTTATGATTTTACACAAATTGGATATAAATATTAGATTTTCTTACAATTTTGGCCATACCAATATTTCATATTTATTTAGGTCCGATGCGAAATGGAGAATATTGGCCCATTCTTTCAAAACCTACTCCATAGAGGGTCAAGAGTCAATCGAACATTGTCTGAGAGTGTACGTGGCTCATTAAGAAAGGTTGCTCAACTTCAAAAAAAAAAACTAGAAAAATGCAACTCTATGCTGGAATCTATAGTGTCAAACAGACTTATAAAAAATATGCAACAGTTGGCTTTGTTTATTTTTCATTTTTTAATAAAATTCCTTTATTGAGAATCTTGAAGTTATTCCAAAAGATTGAATCTAAAATAGTAGGACAATACAGTTTTATCCCAATATTGTACAATATGTTGCCCATTAACATCGAAAGTATGCATTTATTTTACAACGGAATTTGAAATAGTTTCAAATTATTGTGTTTCGTATTTAAAACAATTCACATACATACATAAAACGTGTATATGTTTTGACAGAATAATGGCACCAAAAGAAAAAAAAGTATTTAGGGGGTAGCTTTGTTCTACCTTCTGTATTTGTGCCATGAGTGTATACATTTGTCGGCAAAACTGACCGATACTTTTTAACTTGTTGAAAATTTTGACATTGTGTGGGGGAGGTACCAGAAGGAGTGGGCCGATATTGTCAATCTCCGAACTCGATCTAAGTTGGACAATAATATTACAATGTACCAAGTTTGGATAAAATCGGATACTCCCTTCGGGTGTTATCGTGCGCACCAGCCAGTTAGCCAGACAAAAAAAAGAGACGGAAGGACGGCTCTATATCTACTCCAAATCTCCTGAAACGGAGACCTTGTGTCTAAAACCATTATTTCGATGAGGCACGTGGGCAAATAATATATACCCTATCCCGCCATATGGCTGAGGGTATAAAAAATGCAAATGTATCATCTGGACTTGCTTGTCGACCATTGTTGAAGCCATGGTAGAATAAGGAGGTAGAACAGCTTCGTAAAACTACAGAAATACAGCCCTGAGGCTATGCCCGCTTCTTGTCAAATTTGCATGCAAACAAGTCATTTTCATTTATTCAATATTTTCCTCATTTTTAAAATCAGTTAATCCGAGCGAAAAATTAACGAAATGCCTGGATTTTCTTTCAAAAATATGATCTAAATAGTTCGATCTTTCAATTACATGGCAAAACTCGCGGATAACTTCAATGCGCGTCCCGCAATGTGCGCGTCTTCCAATCATTGACTTTGAAAATATTTTCTTTTTAATTTTCAATGGTTAAAGCCATGGTACAATGAAGAGAAGGTAGGCAAACTTTGAAAAAATTGCAATTATAGAGGTCTACCTGTTTGGCTTGTAATGTCAGAATTAGTATCAAAACAATAAAAAATCAAAGAACTTGTTGCATTTATTTTGAATAAATAACTGAAAACCGCGAAAACTGAATGAAAGGTCAACACTTCTTTTCAAAATCATGTACTATACATCTCTAAAGGATTATTTCGCTATAAAATCTCTAGATTTTGTCGATGCATACTTTGAAATAAAAAATTTGAAAACACACGAATTTGAATGTTTTCTAAACAATTTTTTTGTTATTGAAAAGAAAACACATACATAAACAAATAAATATGACATATTAAGCCAAGAAAATAAAAGAATTAAAATCATATAGTATCATAGCCCTACCTTTATATCATTGTACCATGATTGTACCATGGTTAAAGCCTTAAAAAACACCAAAATTAAAACTAACTTTTAACAACCAAGAAAAAAACTTTTGGGAGAATTTTACCAACAAACTGTGGCAACAGTGTACAGTCCGCCGCCACCTATTGCTTTACACATGATAAGCCGACGGCGTTGCCATAATAAATAGTTCTGCTACGTTGTCTTTTCGTTTAGTTAAGTTTTCCACTTTCTTTTTTAAATGCTTTAAATGTCCAAACAAAAAGTGCCTTAAAATATCATATATTTTTTTTAGTTCTTATGAAATATAAAAAGTCTAACTACCAATCTATAAATACAAGTGCAATTAGTTTACAATTTATAATTGTAACACCAAAAATTATTGTTAAATATGGTCACATTCTCGACAGCATAGATTGTGAAGAATATTCCAACAACAAACACAAAAACAAAACAACGATATCTGTGTGTGCCGATGATCACTTGATGTTGATGGCATTTGGTATGGACAAGCAGGAAATCATAGCCATAATTTATTGATAAAGCAACAGATAAACTGCGACTGACCGGACAGCAAAAGCGAAGCAAACGACTGTTAAAAGTAGGAAGATATTGGGAGTAGAGTGAAAATGATAAACTGTTTTAGTTCACTAAGTGTCCCCACTTTGGGGGAAATGGAGCAAATCATATGCATGCTGGAGAGAGGTACCATTGTTACCAAACTCTATAGTAAGCAACGAAGACCTGAACAGCGAAGATTGATGTTGATAAGGGAAACGCGACAACTACTTTGGTCCCAGGTAACGGCAAATACCCGCATTGAATATGAAGGATCGTTGGAGTTGCGAGAGATCAAAGAGATTCGTGTGGGCAAGGACTCTAAAGAGTTTAGGAATTGCGCAGATGAGGCCAAGCGTTTTGAGTCCGGAAAGTGTTTCGTAGTTTTGCATGGCAGCTCCTTTAAACTGAAAACCTTCTCCGTTGTTGCCCTCTCGGAACATGAAGCCGAAAATTGGGTCAAGGGACTGCGGTATATGGTGCAGGACACTATAAATGCTTCGTACCCATTGCAAGTGGAACGCTGGCTACGTCGCGAGTATTATGCCATAGAAAATTCTAGCACTCAATCGTCCAAAGACGGTGGTCAAGTGACCGTTAAAGACTTTAAGACATTCCTCGGCAGTATTAGTTGTAAAATGACAACATCCAAGTTAATGGACTGTTTTACGGAGGAAGATGTACGGAGAAAAAATGATCTACGCTTTGATGACTTTGCACGTCTCTATAGGAAACTGTTGCAGCCGGCAGGATTTCTTGAAGATCTCTTTCATAGCTTACCAGGTGGAGAATTTGCCTATTCGAAAGATGGACAAAATGTAACATTGCGGGAATTTGAACATTTCCTGCAGACGGAACAGCGCGAGGCGATGGGCAGAGATAGCACTGCAGTTTCCAATTTTATACGTGAATTCTTGCAGGATATTGAACGTGAGGTCCACGATCCATACTTCACAGTGAGCGAATTTGTCGACTACCTTTTCTCGAAGCACAATGATTTGTGGGATAACGACTGTGATCGTGTCTACATGGATATGAAACAACCATTATCCAATTACTGGATTGCCTCTTCCCACAATACGTATCTTACTGGCGATCAATTTTCATCGGAGTCTTCATGTGAAGCCTACGCTAGAGCTTTACGCATGGGTTGCCGTTGTATTGAGCTTGATTGTTGGAATGGTCCGGATAATTTGCCTCATATATTTCATGGCCATACCATGACATCGAAGATTAAATTCAAAGATGTTATTAAGACAATCAAGGAGCATGCCTTTGTAACATCGGAGTTCCCGGTCATATTGTCAATAGAGCAAAATTGTTCACTGGAACAACAACGTAATATGGCCCATGCATTATGTGAAGTATTTGGCGATATGCTGTTAACGCAACGCATTGATCGGACGGAAACACAACTGCCTTCACCGTACCAGCTGAGGAGGAAGATTATATTAAAACATAAGAAATTGCCCGAGTTCGAAGATGCTTCAGCCTCTTCCTTGACTTCGAATGCTTCGTCGAATTCATCAAATCTCTTAACGTCTTCCGGCAGCCGAGGTTCTATTTCTGGTCCAGATGACCAGGGTGATGGTGTAAGAAATGTCCTAAAGGAAGGTCTTTTGTATTACAAAGATCCGGTTGACAAGATTTGGAATAATTATCATTTTGTTTTGACCCAGCAAGAGCTTATCTATTCATCGCAGACTGAAGATACAAATTCCGCGGGTGGTGATGATGATGACAATATTGTTGCTCCGTCTTCCACAAACACATTGATGCCAAAGGCCAAGGATAATTTGATGAATGATGAGTTGCATTTTGGTGAAAATTGGTTCCACGGCAAACTTGAAGGTGAGTTGCGAATTTTGTTGTGAACACTTTTTTGAGAATAAACTGTTATGATTTCCTTTCGTAGGTGGCCGCAGCGAAGCTGATCAGCTATTGGAAGCTTACAAGCACCTAGGCGATGGCACATTTTTGGTTCGTGAGTCGGCGACTTTTGTTGGTGACTACAGCCTTTCGTTTTGGAGGCGTGGCCCTAACCATTGTCGCATTAAGCTTAAACATGAAAATGGAACTACCAAATATTATTTGGTAGATAATTTTGTTTTTGATTCGCTGTACTCCTTGATTGTGTACTATAGAAAGAATATGTTGCGAAGTGCGGAATTTTCCATAACACTAAAGGAGCCTGTACCACAACCTAAGAAACACGAGTCACAAGAATGGTTCCATCCTCATACAACCAAGGAGCAAGCCGAGCAGGTTTTAATTAAGCTGGAAGTGGGCTCGTTCTTGGTCCGACCTTCGGTACAAAGTGCCAATGCATTTGTTATATCGTTCACCATAAATCGTAAGATAAAACATTGCCGTATAATGCAAGAGGGTCGACTTTTCGTGGTAGACACCAATCAATTTGAATCGTTGGTATCCTTGGTAAAGCATTACATGCGTAATCCGTTGTATCGCAATGTAAAACTAGTCCATCCGGTATCTCAAGAGCTTTTGAAGCAGAAACTTTTGGCTTGTCAAGCATCTTTGGACCACCACGGCAATGGGGACTTTAATGATGCATCGAGTTATATGGATGCATGCAGCCTTGAGGATACTGTCACTTGTAAGGCCCTATACAGCTATAAAGCAGACAAAGCAGATGAATTGTCTTTTCCCAAACATGCCATCATTACAAACGTCCAGAGGAACAGTTCAATGTGGTGGAAGGGCGATTATGGTGGTCTAAAACAACGCCATTTCCCAGCGAACTACGTCAAGGTCATCGATTCAAGCTCCGACGATTACAATACATTCAATGATGAATCGAACAATGAACAGTTTTCGCGCACAGACTCCATTGAGATCCATGGTGCTGTGGCCTCGTTGTTCGAGTCAAATGAACCTGGCATCTTGTTGAAGCTCCAAATTCAAACGCCAACAATGCAAAACTCATTTGTAATTGGTTTCGATAATCAGGAACAGGCTTATGAGTGGTTCAAAGCAATTCAAGAGGCAGCCCTAATCGCCAATCAATTAGCAACGGAGAGAAGAAAAAAGGAACGTTCGGCTCGTGTTGCCAAAGAAATGTCCGACTTGATTATCTACTTCCGCAGTGTACCGTTTCGAGAACATTCCTGGGTCTTTTACGAAATGTCCAGCTTTCCCGAAACAAAGGCTGAAAAACAATTTGTACAACAGAATACATTGCTTTTTGTCGCCTATCACCGCCATCAGATAAGCCGTGTCTATCCTAAAGGTCAACGCTTGGACTCGTCAAATTTTAATCCGGTGCCTTTTTGGAATGTTGGCTCCCAGATGATAGCACTAAACTATCAAACTGGTGACAAGGCCATGCAGTTAAATCAGGCTAAATTTCGTGATAATGGTTTGTGTGGCTACCTTCTGAAACCAAAGTTTATGCAGCTGGAGGGATTCGACCCCAACAATCCCCTAACCATTAGTCCTCTGGAGGAGAAACTAGTCACAATTCGCATAATTGCAGCCAGGCATCTATTTCGTGCAGGAAAATGTAGCAATCCTTTGGTTGTTGTCGAAATTGCAGGAGCCAGCTTCGATACGGGCGTCAAACATCGCACAAAAGTCTGTGAGAATGGTTTCAATCCAGTCTGGAATGAAATGTGTGAATTTTCTGTTAAAAATCCACATTTTGCCCTGCTGCGATTCGAGGTGCAGGACGAAGATATGTTTGCCGAAACCCATTTCATTGCACAGGCTTGTTATCCCCTTAACTGCATAAGAACCGGTTATCGCAGTGTCACTTTGCGCAACAAATTCAGTGAGGAATTGGAATTAGCTTCATTGCTTATACATGTCGATATTAAACAAGCATCGGCAACGGAAACCCACGCTGTTCTTGGATTCTAAACCACCTATGTAATTCGATCAAAGCATTTAAACAAAACAAACGAACGAACAATATCATCTAGCACAAATATTTTATAATCATGCATCGTTTGCGTCTAGTTTCTAACCTTTTCGTTTTGTAAGAAATTAACTTGAAAGACTTATAATTTTACTTTTTATTTTAATTCAAAGTACTTGCTTTAGATTGGCTTGTACATTTTTGAAATATTATTCCTCGGTATTTTGCAATTTTAGATAAATTTTGTTTTATTATTTTTTCGTTCATCTTCCTCAAAATGCTTCCAAAGTTATGTCACAAAAACTGAAAACTATTTACATGTTGTATGTATTAACAACCTAACTTATATATATATATACATTCGTATTGAAAAGATTTACAATATTTTATTACAAAAAATATACACATATCTATTATCCATTTATTATTGAGATGTGATTTTCATATACATATTCATAAATGTTAATAAATTGTATTTTATATAATCGCTAATTGAAATTGTTTTTTTCTTTTCAATGCTGATAATAATAGGTGAAACACTGTACGAAAGTTTTCACTTTAAGACATTCAACATTCCTGCTGAGTGGTAAAATAAGAAGGTCTATTCGTACTTATAGGATATTAAATATACTAAGGTATTTTTACTAAGGCGATACGCAGATTTCTTTGCAAACACTTGCGACCCGTTTAAGTATTTTTAAATGTCCGGTGATTAGTTATGTCTTTGTGCATTTGTTTGTAACAGGCAAAAGGAAACGAGATAGACACATAGTTCCTCTTGATGATCTGCATAGAATTACACTCTGAGTCGATTTATGCATTTCCGTCCGCAAGTCCATGTTTTTTGTGAACAAAGATGAAATTTTGCACAAGTCTTTTGTTTGACCCAAGGACGAACCCTATTGAAATTGGAGATAATCGGTCAAAATGTAGATATAGCTCCCATATATATCTTCGTCCGATTTGCCTTTTATTGTGCACCAAAGATGTAATATCAGCCCAAATAGCATGGAATTTTGCATATACGATCAAATTAAGCCTGGAAATAAATGCCAAATTTGATCGAAATTGGTTCAGATATAGCTATAGCTTCCATATATATATTAATCATCCAATTTGTTATATATTTTTATTTGTTATATGAAGTTCTACTAAATATGCAAAGGGGTATAAGGTATCATAAAATCGTCCCCCCGACTTTTAGACTTTCATTACTGATTTTGTAATTCGCAAAGCCAATTGTTTGTTTTTGTTCCAAAAGTGGGAAATTCTTCCTCTTTCGGCTCATTTTGGGTCCTTTTCAAGTAATATGTACTAAGTAATCTCTTTTTACTCATTGTTATCAAAACCATGGCAGAATAAAGAAGGTGAGGTCATGCAATCATATGTTTACAATTTTTCAAAATTGCCTATTTGATATCTTATTGTCAAAATGTATATTTATAAGTCTATTGTGTACACATAAATCAGAGATGGGAAATTGTTTTATATTCAAGAAAATTTGAAAAGGTAAATGAAAGAAAATACAGAGCTGGATATGCTGGTTTTAAATGACTTTAACATCTTTATTTTACTATGAACAAAACATTGTAAAAATACAACATTCAAAAAGACTTTCATTTTATAGGGTAATTGAAATATGGCTCTAGAAAAATATTTTAAAACTGTCTTGAAAAAGCCACCTGTCTAAATTTACAAAATTGTTTCGAATAAATGTTTCCAGTTTAATATTCTAATTGTTAAACAAAGAAAACATTTTTATTTTTTTATTTTATATAAATCTGAATCCAAACGTATCCCACTTTAATACAAACACCAGTTCAACCATTTAGATAATGCTGTTAAACTTTTTAAAAACCCATAAAGTATGTGGGGCCGTTATATGGGGCCATACCAAAACGGGAACTAATATAAACAATTTTATTGTTTAAGGATTGTCGTCTACCAAATCTTCTTAAATACCAAGTTTGAAACAAATTTGTGGGTAAATAGTACCAGTAGTGGGTTTCTCTAAGTCATTATTTGAGTTACCGACAATAATCGGTAACTTTAAAATCAAAATTTTTGATATGAAAAAGAAGTTAAAGTTCACAACATTGGTATCTATCGGTAGGTCTTAACGACAACATTGATTTCGCCGCTAGCTTACCTAAAAATTTCGTTACTTACCGAAGTTATATGCATTTTAAGTTCACCGACTTTTGTCGGTAACTCAAAAAATTAGTTAGAGAATTCCACTACAGGATTTACAAATATCGATGAGTATCGTTATATGTGCGTTATAGGAAAACGTGGACAAAAATATTCAATGTTCTGCCATCTGAGCTAGAACCCATTATAAACTACAAATACCAATTTTAAATCAAAACACCGGATATGGGGACGTACCGTTATATGGGAGCTGTACCAAAACAGCTATACACTATATTCCGCCACCGGAGATAGAACCCATTAACTACTAATAGCAATTTTTAGACAAATCGGTGAAAAATCATCAAAATACTGAATATCGGGAGGTACCGTTATATGGGGGCTATACAAAAACGTGAACCTATGCATACAATGTTTCGCCACTGAAGCTAGAACCCATTATGACTTACAAATACCATTTTTTACACAAATCCGTGAAAAAAATGTGGAGTAAATATTAAAACGACGAGTATCGCGAGGTACCGTTATATGGTGGCTACACCAAAAGTGGACCGACATATAACATTTTTAATACCAACCAAATACGTCAAATAATGCTAATGGACTATATCGTGATTTCAACAGACAGACGGATATCGTTAAACCGACTTAGAATTTTATGTTGATCATGAGCATATACACTACGGCCAATATTTGGGGATGTTACAAACGGAATGAAAAAGTTAATTAAAAAAACCTACCTTTTTCAAGGCGGAAGACTTTTAGTACTCAGAGTTCTGACGGTTGAAGTCGACTATGGACTTTGGTGAAAATCGATTAATCGACTGTTAAAAATTTACAGTTAGTCGTGGTACAGATGAACTGTCAACATTTTTGAAATTTTGAAGGTGAAAATACATAAAATGTATTTTGAATGGTTTCATTGAAAAAAAGAACAAAGGAGCGTTGAGTGATCATAATCATGGAGCGTGGAGTGATCATAATCATCATCATATAAATTATGGGCCGAATTTGAACTAAGACAACCTAAAATTCTTCTGTTCATTTACAAAGAAGACAACCGATGTCTTAAGCCAGTCAAAAAAGCGTTTTATGTATTCTCACCTGAAGTTTTGAATGAAAAATTATTCAATTTGAAAATTACGTATCATATCAATCTCTGAACGGCATCGTATAAGAAAATATTGAAAATATAAAAACTAAATTTGCTTTCATTTGAATGCACAACCGCCATTCAACATTATATCTTTTATTCATAGTTTTAAGTCTCCCTGAAAAAAAATTTAAAATTTCTTTATTTTTTTCTATTTTGAGTTTTGAAATGTCATAATTTATTTTTCCATAAATGCTCTCATTTTTAACAGTCGATTATGAATAGTCGATTAATCGATTTTCACCACAGTTCATAATCGACTACAACTATCAGAACTTTGAGTACTAAAAGTCGATTATTCGAAAGTCGACTTACCTATCCCTAAATTTTATTTTTTAGAGGCAGATGCAGCAAAAAAGCAAAAAGGTCGGTGGTCGTCGTTTGTGATAAAAACAACGCCAAACAAAGAGAAGTGCCAAATTAAGATCCGTGAGCAATATAGACACACATTGTTGCAAAATATAAATAAAATTCTCTCGAAATCCCATTTGCCAAACCAACCAGTGAAAGTGAAAACATTCTAAAATCAGTGCGCTTCTAGAAACAACAACCAACAATTGCAATAAAAATCAAAGTGAATCACTTCGAACTATCACTTGACTATAGAATACATTAAAGAAGAACTAGAATTACTAATATGTTTGTGATCAGGTGTTTGGCGGCGCTAGCGGTGCTTATATGCACGGCCGCAGCAGCTAAAACAACGGATCTTGATTTAAGTAATCTTAGCAACATTAATATGAATGACTTGCAAAGCCAGCTACCAGGTGAATTACCAAAAACCAATCTAACATTGGACGATGCTAAAACCTTGATCAAGGACAAGTGCATTAAGCAGGCTGGCGAGGAAAATGGTACCAAAGCCTTCAATGAAATCGAAACGGCAACGATGACCTTGGCCGAATGTGTGAACGGCATAATAAATTATACTGCCATTCAGGAAGAAATCACAATTGCTTCCCCCAATGGCGATTTGGATATGGTTTTCAACAAATATTGTTTAAAACGGCCCGAGGCCATGGCTTGTGTTGAGGCTTTTAATTCCAAATTGACCCCCTGTTTGGATGATGAAGAACGCGAGAGCCAGGATGTTTTCATGCGCATCATCAAAAGTCTCTTGAATTTTGTGTGTCACAAGGGTGGCGATCAAATCGCTCTTTTCATTGCCGAAAAGGGACCCGAATGTTTGGAAGCCAACAAGGAAGGCATACAGAATTGTATCAACAGTACTTTTTCCGGCTATTTACCCGCTGAAGGCATTGACAATGTAAAGACCCTGCCGAAGCTGGTTATGGGTGCCCAACAATGCGAAGATATCGAACAACTGGAAACATGTATTGTTCGAAAATTGGAAACCTGCAATGACACGACACCAGCCAACATTGCCGAATCTATGTTCCGTTTCATTAAGAACGAGACCATTTGTCGCACAGCCAAAGCCCACAAGCAGACAGGCAACAGCGGCGCTCACAATGCTGGTACTTTAAGTCTACAAGCAATTTTCCTACTATTGTTCGTACAGTTAGTAACGTACTTGAAACGTAAGCAAATTGTCGTCTAAAATGTAGGTTTATTTGCCTTTTATGTTTTTTTTTTCTAGCTGACAAAAGTGTGTACTCATTTCATTTCATTCTTTCGTAATATCAGGGTTAAATTCCGGTTAAAATGTAGTTAATGAAAATAAAAATAGAACGAACGAGCAATTATAAAAGGTATAGGTATAAGCTAGCTAGAGGGGTAGTATACAGAAAAGCTATGGTTCTAGCATAATAATATAGATTAAGAGACAATTATGCATGACATCTACGATATTGATCCCACCAGACACGAGTGACAAGGCTAAATTTTGTAAATTCGCTAAACTAAAGGATAGGTATTCCGCTTGTGGCGGCAATATTCGTATAGAAATAGGAATTTCTCTTGAACCTGACCAAAAAATCTCTTACTTTAAATACTAAATCTCTCTCGCCAGTAACATAACTTGGGCCTTGTTAAAACGCATTATAATAAAATAAGCAATGCAACAAAAGAATCTCAATTCCTTATCGAATAACATTTTGGTGGACCATAAAAAAATACAAATTAAAACCACATCACACATACAATTCCAAAATTTTGAATTTAATTAAAAAAACAATTTAAATATAGACCTTGCACCTTGCCTATGAATTTGAATTTGTGTGTATTTTGACGAGCCATAGCGTTATTGTTAGTGAGTGTTCCCCTCTTCCCCTTTTTGGTCGCATTAAAGTAATAATAATTATAGTACATAGATGAATAAGTATCAAAGTTTACTTAATTTAAACAAAACAAAAAAGCATGAGCTAAATTTATGATAAAAAAAAATCAAATATATTCAATTCTATTTTACAACAATAATGCTGTAAACAAATAAATAATTACTATTACGTGAACATAGTTACTATCTGCAATAATAACTGAATAATTTCCATTAGTCTTCTTTGAGAATCTTATATTTAAGCTAACGACAAATCGAATTGTTTTTTTTTTTTGTATGGAAAAATATGAAATCTCATTATCTGAACTCAATTTATATATATAAATTAATTATTTTGAATTTTTTATAACAAATAAATAACAATTGGAAATGACTAATATAAGCTGATAACAGTAACTGAGAATGTGAACAGATTTTTTTTTTTCATATTATTGTTTAAGAGTACATAGACGCCAGATTTTTTCTTTGTATTCATCTTGAGCGTTTTGTAGGTATACATTATTTTCTTTTGAAATTAAAAATGATATTTCTCCTCTATTGTTTTCTATATAAATTGAAAATACAACTATGAATATTAAATAAAATGTATGATGAAACAATTAAATATGTGTTATTCTTTTTTCATTTGTTTGGCTGGCTAAGCATTGTGTCAGATCTTTCAAAGGGGTGTTTATCCTCACAAATATGAGAGTATTATAATTATTTATAACATGTACAAGTTTTCCTCGAAATTCATTCCATATGAATTTGTAAGCGGAAACAGTAAGAAGCATATCGACTTTACAAGTGATTGTCATATTGACACTTGCATATTTGCAATGCGAGTATTGCAAATCACTGACTCATTCAATACGAATTGTATTTTGTTATTTGAGACGATAACAATACTTACGACACTCAAACAGCACTATTTTGGAGTTAGAGTGATCTTGCATATCTGAAAACTCACATGTTTTACAAGAGGGGTCATACTATTTATTCTAGCATAAGCGAATATGAAAATAAATATTAAATAATAAAAGCATTACCATACATTTCTATTTAAAATCTTCTAAATCTACAACCACAAATGTCGCTCAAACAAATATGAAACAATAGCATCTGAATGCTCCACTAAACAATAACCTTTGAATAATAAACAACGTATTGCCTTATTATTATTTGTAATGGGTCCAAAGTTTAATCAACACGGGCATTAATATTCAGATAAAGATTACACAAGAACATTATGCACACAGTCTCATAAGTATTGCGGCGATTGAAATAATGAAAACAGATTGTAAGATTCGTATTTTCTCTAAATTTACTCATGTTGATTAACCAGGGTCATATTTTTATATACTTACCGTGAGATATAAATCCGCTAAGAGAGAGGGGGAGGGGGGGGCAATCTAGACTTCTCTACTGTTAAAATTTAACAGATTGTTTCTCGTAACGAATTTATGGGTATATCGGGGCTTTCTTTAGAAATCATGAAGCAAACGTATTGCATCAATATCAAGATGCTTCGCCCCTGACGGCAAAAGATAACCAATGACCAGTAAGCCCATCAGACAACTAAGTTTGCTGTTAGAAGACAAAATGTAATTTGAAATTCAAATGGAGTCAAATCAAGACCTACATAAAGAAGGGTTATTTTGGCAACAATTTGACATGGCACAATTACAGAAGGTGGAACAAGGCTTATCCCATGGTACAATGAAGAGAAGGTAGGCCAACTTTGAAAAAATTGCAAGTATAGAGGTCTACCTGTTTGGCTTGTAATGTCAACATTAGTATCAAAACAATAAAAAAAATCAAACAACTTGTTGCATTTATTTTGAATAAATAATTGAAAACCGCGAAAACTGAATGAAAGGTCAACACTTCTTTTCAAAACCAGGTTCTATATATCTCTAAAGGATTATTTCGCTACAAAAACTCTAGATTTTGTCGATGCATACAATGAAATAAACATTTTGAAAACATCAGAATTTGAATGTTTTCTGAACAATTTTTTTGTTATTGAAAAGAAAACATATACATAAACAAATAAAGATGACATATTAAGTCAAGAAAATAAAAAAATTGAAATCATATGGTATCATAGCCCTACCCTGATATTATTGTACCATAGCTACCCCCTAAATACAATTTGACAATAAATGCTCTGTTCCATGGCACAATTACATTTTTTTCTTTTGGTGCCCTTATTCTGTCAAAACATATATACATTTCGTGTATGTGTGCAATACACACACAAAAAAAATAAAAAAATAAAATAATTTTAAATTGTTTCAAATTCGTCTTGAACCCGGACTTTCGGGTCAAAAATCTGGAAGACGGACCCGGAATCAGGATAAAAATACCTACCTCTGGAATTAATGGGCAACACATTGAAAATTTTTGGGATAAAACTGTATAATCCTACTATTTTAAATTCAAGCTTATGGAACAACCCCAAAATTCCAATCTTGTTTCGCGGGTTTTCCCCCATTTAAGAATTTTGTTAAAAGATGAAAAATAAACAAAACCAAAGCTTGATTAAGAAATTCAGAACTGAAAGAATGTAAAACTTGTTGATATTAAAAAAAAAATAATAATAATAAATAAATAAAGAAACTAGTAGATTCTTGCAGGTTCTGGAACAGAACACATGTTGTAGGAAGTTTTACATAGAATTTCTCAATTACCCTACATAACATGAATCTCTTAAAGGCGAAAACACATAAAACGCTTTTTTGGTTGGCTTTGACGAAGAATTTATAAAAAAACATCCGGTGACTATATATATCGATAGTCAAGCAGCCCAGAAACGCTATATTCATGTACCATTAAATCTATGGCAGTTTTGGGGTCTAGGAATACACTGGAAAAGTTTAAGTCGTCCATAACCATTGTTGAACAGATGAATTGACAATATGTGGATCCGAGTCAATCGATTTGGTTATCGACAAATCGGTGAAGCCAACATTTTGTCACTTCTTCCGAATGATATATAAACATTATTCCGGTATAAATGAAGGCGTTGTACTGTCTATAAGAAAATATGGGCAGTGCTCTCTGAAAAGCGATCAAGGTAGCTCATCTCCATGGGGAAATCAAAATGGAATGGAAACTGAATCGGTAGAGGTGTGAGTACATAAGCAGCTTGAAGTATTCGCATGTCATATTTTGTGACATATCATAAGGAGATCATTAAGGGATGCCAAAACCACACTCGAATCCTGCCTTCGTTTCTCCATATAATTTGACATTAATATTCCTAGCCATGATGGCAATCTGCTTTACTCTGGCATGGCAAAATGTTCGATCTCTACCATCTTTGTAACAGAACTTGTGTTAATGGAAATATTTAAATGTGCCAAGTCTGAATGGAATCTGATTTTAATTTCTGCGTTTTTTGAATTTTATGAAAATTTAAAATTTTAACGCTTCGAGGGGGAGGTACCAGAAGGAGTTCACCGATATATTCCATCTTCACACCAATCCTTGGGTTAATAAAAATATTATGATGTTTGTAATTTGAGGACAAACGGACTCTTACATCACAATTAATAAGAGTTATAATTATTCAAAATTCTGACCCTTTGTTGTTGTTGTTGTAGCAGTAGTACATGTGTGTGTTTGTGTTCTGCTAATCTGGTTCGAGCTCCAGGTTTAGAAATTCGGCTACTTTAACGGGCTGTAGCCAGAGATCCTCTGGAGTGAGTTGGGTAGGTTTGGCTGAGCAATTAAAAAGGTGTAGCGTATTGTGCGGGCCTGTATCGCACGCCGGGCAGGCGTCACGCACATCTTCATCAATTCGTGCCCAATACGAATTGAGGCGACTACACCATCCTGAACGTAATTGCGCCAAAACTACCCTGGTTTGTCTAGGCAGCTGACGTTCTTCGGCTGCAATGGATGGGGGTGGACTCCGAGGACGGCATTCACTTTATAACTGCTAATAGCATCCGCGACTGCATCGGTGTGAATGCCACTCAGACCTGCCTAATAGGCTTCTTGATCTAGAGGCTCTCTCTTGTAGCGCTGGACCTCCCTCTCTAGATCATGTATGTCCTTCCTGACACGCCTGGGTGGGGGAGAGTTATCCACCATATGACGGTTGGGATGACTCTCACGGTATCACCCAAGCAGGTACTGCAAAGAAAGCATATGATTATGCTGACGTAAGGGAAGGACTTTCGCCTCCTCATGTAGATGGTCCACTGGTGTCATGAGGAGGCACCCTGTCGCAGTTCTCAGGGCAGCGTTCTGGCAGGTCTGGATATTCTTCCACTGCGTAGCACTAGTATTCGCAGACCACACTGGAGCCGCATAGTTGACCACAGACCGACCTATCGCGTTATAAGAGGTCAACAAGGTTTCTTTGTCCGCACCCCAAGAGCTGCCGGTTAGCGCCTTGAGGACCTTGTTCCTACTTTTCATCTTGTCGCAGATAGCTGTGGCTTGCGCGGACCACTTGAACATGCTGTCGAACGTTACCCCAAGAATCTTGGGGTAGTTCGTGGTCGGTATTAGATTAACCTCGACCTGAACATTCAGGGGCAGGTACGTGATGGAGTTGACCAATATTGTCCATATTCACACTTGACATAGCACTGATGCAAATATTAGGATGTGCAAACTTGTAGAAAAATTTGATTATCCTCTCTCTTCCTGTGCAGTAATTTATTTTCTTTGAAAATGTTCTCATTAGGTGTGTCTGGTTACCCTAAAATTTATAACAATTGTTACAAATTGTTACTGGAAGTCGTCTGTTAACCCGAAAGTTCTGCAAAAGAGAGGGGTTGGAGAGAGAAATTTTGACAGTTTTTTCAATGAGAGTTTGCAAATTCTTGCTGGACAAATTTCTCAAATTTCTTCTTGCAATCACTTGCAACTCTTCTTCTTCTCATTCATCGAAATTCAATCAGATGTTTTCTAATGTTTGTTTTAATTTTTGTGCTTTTATTTTGAAAATTTTTTTTTTGGAATTAGCAAGACTAATTTTTGGAGAACAACTTTACAATATGAGAAAAACTTAAGTATTAGTATGTAATAAGAAAATAAAAGACTATTTCCAACATTTTTAGACAAACGCCATTAGCAACACGTTTAAAGTCTCCCTTCAAACCCTTCAAATCTATCTTTCTTTTACTGTTCATGTTATTGTTTTATTGCTAATTTCCTTTTTATTTCTAAAATTATAAAATTGGTAGTGTTTTCTTTCTTTCAATTCTTTTGATGGGGGACAAATTGGTTTGTTTTGACAAATCAGCTGATTGCTTGCAAGTTTTTGCAGGGATTCCGTCTGTTTACTTTTCACAGTTTTCTTGCAAAAGAGAATAAAACCTCCTTACTCTCTCAGAAAGAAGTTGCTGGACAATTCCTGCAGGAAAAGTAACCAGACACACCTATTTTGTTGCTGAGGTACCAGAAGGAGTGGATCAATATTGCCCATCTCCGAACTCTATCTAAGTTTGACAATAATATTACGATACTCCCTTCGAGAGTTATTGTGCGCACCAGCCAGACAGACGAATGGAAATCGCTAGATCGAATCCAAATGTCTAAAAGTTTTGCCAAACTTCTCGATATCATAAAGGAAAAATTTGTTATCGTTGTGACATTTTTTTATTC